TTTTGGCACGATATACGAGAGAGGGACTGATTGAGCGCATGGTCTAGCGACTTCGGTTGGCACTGACTGTTGGACCTGACCTGTGATGGACCGAAGGTTAGGCTCCTGACTAGCGTGTGTATACCGCGACCTATATTAGGCATGATTAGCGACTGTCTCGTTCGGATACTCTCCTTGGCTCCGGACGGTTGATCCATGACTGAGGGACACTGCACTGTTGGCCTGCTCCGCGTTGGCTACCTGACATGGCCTGGCTCCTGATGCTTGGAATTCGTGGAATGACTCTCGTTGGCACTGTACTCGAATGCTCATGATGGACTGACTGATGGACTAACTAACTTTTGGACTGACTGATGGACCTGTCTCTCGTTGGGCTCCATGCCCCTGATGCGCCGCTACTGATCCTGTTCCGACTGACGCGTTGCGAATCGACTGAGCTTGCGCAATTACACTGTGCTCGGTACTGCCTGATGGAACTCTGATCACGGTTTGGACTCTGATGACCCTGACCCGAGTTGGACTGCCTCTTGGAGCTACACTCGATAGCCGATCGGCTACACGCAACGAACTGGAACTGACGCGTCTGGCCTGATCGGTTGGACTGACAGCGATATGGGCACAGATGTCCTCCCCGGACCTTACCGCGTGGGACCCGATCCTGCGACTGGATCCTGCATCCTCGCTGCGAGAGAACTCGCAGCGGTCACGGCGCACTGTTGCGACCTCCGCTCTGGCCATCTGAACTGCGCGCGCGACCTTCACATGTATGGTCTGAGTAAAGTCTGGTCAGGCGACCGATCCGTTGGACATGATCACTCTCGATGACTGCTATCCGCTGCGGGCTACTGACCTCGCTCTGGAGCGGATACTCGTTGGTATCCCCAGCGACCGTTGATTCCGGACCAGGAGGCACTTGGAATGTTGCGTCCCCGATGTTGCCTCTGACGAGCGCTCCCCCCTGCTTGTTGACTGCCTCATGTTGGATATCGTCACTGTCCGGCGCACTCTGACTGCTTGGTTCTGTAGTTCGGCTACTGAGAACTGATGGTGCTACATGACTTCGTTGGTACGGACCTCTGCTAATCGCGCATCCCCCCGGAATGATCCGAGACTCCTCGCGCTACCTCGGTCGGGACCTGATGTATGGACTGACTGTATGGCCTGCCCTGAGATCCTGGGCGGGTACTGAGCCGCGTGCGTACTCGCGCATAGTCACGCTCATAACCCTCCTACTAGCTCTCTCGTTGTGCTTTGAGGGCCTCTCCGCCACATTGCAGAGTACGAGTCTGTGTCTGTGCTGAAGCTGACTCTGGCCTGCCAGTGTTATAATCATACATCTACACCTCCCCAATCTAGCTATCTTTCATCGCCAATTGCCGCGCAGCTACTCGCCCTTGTCAATAATACGAGATCCGCGCCGCTAACTATCACTAATTATACTCCATATCGATGTTAGATTCTCATGCGTGTTTGGAACCTACACACCACATAATCCGCTTCAACCCCACTCCTAAAGCTCTTCTTATGCGAATACATCTCTCGTCACTATAATGTACTTTAGGCACATGATAGCGCACACGATAAAGTAATTTCAACAGCACAACACACGCTCCTCGACACTCCCCCTCGATCTAAATCCCTCAACGCTTTGTCTTCTTTTCTTGCGCCGAGTATAGTCCTGAGTCCGTTATCTACATCCCGTCTGAACGGCCCAATCTTGAATTTTCACATCGTTACCAGCCCTCATAATTATCCTCTAAACAATATCTCACAGCCCTATATCTAGCGCTGTCCTCTCAGCCTCCCCCATATACTCCTCCACACTTCCACGCTATCTATTTCACTTCACACTGACCGCCTAATACACATAGCGCTATAGAGAACTCATCGCCCCCATCCTCTAAGTCAAATCACATATTGCGCGAGACGCGTCTTGTCTCACGTCCGCTTCGAGCGCCAGATCTCGGTGGTACACCTAAATTATACGCGACTCCGTTCGAGCGCATGAGTGCTATCCCTCGGTGCGAGAGCTCGCCCTATCAGGCTCGATTCAGCGCTTCCTCGGTCCACGGACGCCATCAACTGTGCCTCTATCCCCGGACAAATCATCTGGCGTCCTTCGCTCTCCTTCGGTGCTAATGCGACTGTGCTACACACCATAATCTAACCCTGCCCACAGCCCACGCCACGTGCCCGCCACCGCCACTCCGCCATGCCACTCCTGTGTTCTCCCCCTGTCAATCACATAAATAACACATACTAACCAGTATCTCATACACCCATTATGTCCTTTGCACTTATCTCCAAGAGCACCTGCTCCACCACGCACGTCGCCCACCGCGTGCTCATTCCGTGGAATCATGTCGACTTGATGCGGTCCCCCCTCTCCTGGCGCGTCCACAGTTGCGCATTATGCCCACTGAATTGTGCAGATCATCTGATCGCCACACTATGCTCCTGCAGCAGAACACTCTTCTCCTGACATGCTCTTACCGTCTCCAGAGATACTCGTTCTGCTCGAGGCGCATGAACGGCGAAATTCCATCCATCTTTAATCGTGACACACACTGACGCGTCTCGCTCTGAGCGAGGATCGGCTCGTCTCGCGCGATCTCAACACGATATCAGGATCTTTTGCCACCAGCTCCCTAGTTACACTCACCATGGACCCTTCCTCAACCACTCTGCAACGCGAACCTCCGTTCTCGCACACTGACAAATCTGCAATCGAGGGCTCACAGCATTCGCGCTTCCTCTCCGCGCACAAGCTCTAAAACTATCTATTCGACTGATTTTGCAGCCTTATTCACACATCTTTGGTCGCTCTTACTTCCATGTAGAGCCAACTCGCATCACTAATCGCGTTGTTTATCTCAATTCTTTGTAGCCGCGCGCTCTTCTGCCGTGTAAAGCCATTTCACTCTCCTGTGCGGCTCGTATCATAAATACAATACTGGTCTCTCTCTCCTCTCTCTGCGTGGTCTCTCTCCTCCTCTCTCTGCTGGTTCTCTCTCCTCTAGGGCTGGGCGTAATTATGGCTGAAAACTATATCACGATAAAAGTCATTCATACTCGGTCGATAACGAATATATTTGAGGTTTTTTTTTTAACCTAAGTTTATTCGTATTTGTCGTGATGGGCTAACCAACCTTAGCAGCCTTGTTTACAGTCACGGGGCGATGAGGATGGAGAAATATGTTCACACTGTGTCCTGTGGTTTTCCTGGTTTAATTGGTTTTTTATTCCTGTTAGCTCCTGTTTTAGCTCTGGTTAGCTGTTTGAGGGTTTGTGTCCCCGTGGCCGCTCCGTGTGGCTCATCTGTGCCGCACATGCTTCCCGAGGAAAAGTTAATCTCTTCGCCACGTCTCGCCCGACTATCTCTACATCCGGGCGCTGCTCCTCCTGCCTAGCGCCCCGACCGCATAAGGTCCGCCATCCGTGCCATCGCAGCCTCACCGTACGTGCTTATCACACATCCGCGACATACCCGCTCACTTGAACAGCAGCACTACTAGACTCATCTACGCGCGACTCGCACCAACGCAATGTCGCGGCCGCTGCTGTCCGCTGCGCTTCCGCGCTGCTCCTGTGTCTCTCCCTCATATCTCGGTTTTGCGGTTCCTGACTCGGCACGCGTTGCTGTGGTCGAGCAACAGCTCCGCTCCATACTTCCCCCCCACACCCAACTCGCCTTGAGCACTTCCTGCTAGCTCAGGCCTGCTTGCTACTTCCACTAGCCCCGGCCGCAGTTGTCGCTTCATTCCCCGCGTTTTGTCTCGTCCGCGTGCGCGCCAGCTCTACACACTATGCCTCGATACCTCTCTCTAGAGACCCAATTGCTCTTCTTGTGCGATATCAACGAACCACACCTCGTCATATCGCGATCTAACCGATACCGTCCGTTCACTCGTTCTCCACTCGCTCACCTCTGCCACCCCTACTCTCCTCCCGCCTACCTCTTATCGCGGCATCTCGTGCCTATCACTCTGTGCTTCCCCCCCCCCCCCCCACCCCCCCCCCCCCCCCCCCCCCCCCCCACCCCCCCCCCCCCCCCCCCCCCCCCCCCCCATCGTTGTCCTCCGCGACGGGAGCATCGCTGAGGAGGTGCTTTAGCTGATTGCGTCGCCATATACGACCATCATTCTCCCTTTCTGACTGGAGGAACAAACCCGTGTATCAGTTTGTCGCTTTACAAACCCTGATTTCTCGCCGTATCACAGCTTCGTGTTTTTGCTGTTAGCGTGACTCTGCTGAGTGACACATATATTGTCACCCTTGCATCGTCCTCTTTCTTCTATCCGATCGCGCGAGCTACCTCTCTCTGAGCCGCGATCACAATACTGTGAGTATTTCATGGTTTGCTCTTTATCATATCTGTCATGTCATTCCCTCTCTCGTTCTTGTGTTGCGTTTTGCTATAAGGCGGGGGGGCTCCATCAGGCGGTGATGGCACATCAGGGGTGAGGGGAAGATCAGGGCTGTGGGAACATCCAGGGTGGGGGGGGACATCAGGGTGATGGACATCCAGGGGTGAGGCACATTCAGGCGTGAGGGACATCAGGGGGTGAGGCACAACAGCGTGAGGGACATCAGGGGTGAGGGGGACGTCAGGTTGGGGACTCAGGGTGCGGGAATCAGGGATGAAGGACTCAGGGGCGGGGGCCACTCAGGGGTGGGGGCACATCAGGGTGAGGCAATTCCTGGGCGCGCTCGCGCACATCAAGCGGCCTCGCGGCGCACACATAAGGGTGACGCACATAAGGGGTGAGGCTTACATGTCAGGGCGTCGGCCGCGGCTACCACGATCTAGGGGTGAGGCCCCACTACATCAGGGGTGAGGGACGTCAGGCGCCTGAGGCCTAACCCCTTCAGGCCCGTGCTAGGCGGTACCATCTGGCGTGAGGCCACATCCCCAGGTGAGCGGTACGTCAGGGCTGTCGCGCCACATCAGGGGAGGATCCTTAGCGCCGGACGAGGCACCCATCAGGGCCCGTGAGGCACCATCAGGGGTGAATGCACCTTCAGCGGCTGCACGGGCACATCAAGGGTGACGGCAACCTCTATGGCGTGCTGCGCACACATCACAGGGGTCGAGGCGCAACCCATCCAGGGGGTCGAGGCACATCAGGATGAGCTAACCATCATCGGGGTGGGGCACACTACCTGCGGCGTGGAGGCGCAAACTTCATGGGGTGAGGGATCTCATCAGGGTGAAGCTCCCTCTCCCCAGGGTTGCAGGTCTCACCCTTCAGCCGGTGCTTGGCACCCCCGCATTCGGGGTGAGGCCACACTCTCTGCGGCGTGCAGCGCGCCCCCCCCCCCCCCCCCCCCCCCCCCTTCAGCGGCTCGAAGACACCATCAGCGAATGTCGGCACCAAGCTCTAAGCTGTGCAAGACAACTCACAGCGGTGAGGGCTACTATCAGGGTCGTGCCGGACATAAGGGCCGTAACGCGCACCACGCAGGCGCTCCCGCTCGGATACTCGTCATCGGGGTGATGCGCATACATGACTCCGGCGTGAGGCGTCATAAGGCCCCCCGCCCCCCGTGCAGGGGACCTTGCCACAGGGTGCAGGCGGACCATACTCGCGCCGCTGAGGGCATCTCTACAGCGGTGAGCTCTCTCATTAGCGGTGACGGCCAATATCCAGGCGGTGGAGCCAATACTGGTGTGCCTCCGCGGGACATCCAGCCGGGTGGGGGCCTTTCCAGGGTGAGGGTACATCAGGGTGACGGGACTCACCCAGGCCGGTCCCTCCCCCCCCCCCCCCACCCGCCCCCCCCCCCCCCCCCCCCCCACCCCCTGCACCCCCTCGCCCCCCCCCCCCCCCCACCCCCCCCCCCTCCGCCCTCCCCCCCCCGCCCCCACGCCCCATCGCCCCCCCCCCCCCCCCCCCCCCCCCCCCCCCACCCCCCCCCCCCCCGTCCCCCCCCCCCCCTCGCGCACCCCCTCCCCCCCCCCCCCCCCCCCCCCCACCCCCCCCCCCCCCCCCCCCCCCCCCTACCCCCCCCCCCCCCACCCCCCCCCCCCCCCCCCCCCCCCCCCCCCCCCCCCCCCCCCCCCCCCCCCCCCCCCCCCCCCCCCCCCCCCCCCCCCCCCCCCCCCCCCCCCAATCCCACGCGCGAGTCGACGGGATCAATGCATGTGAGCTGAGTCACAGCACTCCGAACGGCTCGGCCTCGGCTAGGACCACACTGATTACACCTCAATATCGCTGCGCGCGCTCACTCGTCGAGCTGCTGTCTCACAGTCTTATAAAACGTATCTCTACATTAGGCATATGCTCATTTCTTTCATCTCTCACTCGCTGTGACTCTCCTTTGGCATACTACATCACATCGTCTTCTTCGCTTTATGCGAAGAATTATGGTATCGCCTCCGTCCCACACGTGAGACTCACGCTCGCCATTGCCGCCACTTTTAAATCTGCCCTGCTAGGGTTGCTGGGCCTGTCTCGACGCACACCTATCAATCTCACTAACAATAACACATTCACGCCGACTCCACACTGCTTGCTCTCGCCTTGTCACGCGTCGCTAGCGCCCTGTCGGGCAAGCACACACTTACCCATTTGCCCTCGCAAGGCCCCCTCACCCTGAATAACTCAAAGGCCGCTGTGCGGGACTCAGCACACCTGACTGGTGCGCATACGTGTGGCGGCTGCGCTGCTACGGTGTGCTCTATGCGGGGCAGCTGACTGATGCCACCACCACTGACCCTAGACATAATGGATCTCCGGCGGGAATATCTCAATCGACTTGGATGGTATCTAATCTATGTTCATTATTTCGTAAGCTCACCTACCACAACTTGCAAACGCTTAACATCAGTCAGCTCCATATCTGCCATCCACACGGCACCCAGTACCTGAGACAGAGTGAGGCCACACCTACTGCGCTGGGACTCTGAGCCACACGCATAACAGGGCGCCGCAATGGCCACACACCAACATCGTATCATCGTGTGTGTTCTCGTCCGATGCACACTAACGCCAGCGCTTCTGTTTACTGTCACTCCGTTGCTTCATCTGTGGTCTTCTCTCATCATACTATCGCTCGTTCGCCTCTCCTATAGTCACACACCACTCCGTCTCTTCAAAAACCCTTCCTGTCTACACATACACATCCTCACCACTCTACACAACTACTACATATTATCACACACACACCTCCGCACAACATCACACACTCCACCTGACGACCACTCACTCGTCCAACCTCCGCCCCTCGGTTACCAGCGACGATGCCAATCAGCATTACTCACACTCTCTATAAACATGTCTGATCGCATACATTCAATGACGTCCTCGTCTGTTCACCAGCCTCACTCACCCACAACTCCTACTCAGCGCGCGCACTCGGTCTTGGTTCCTGCGCTTCACCGGGATTCGGTGCCTCTTCGCGCTCGCGCGTATCATTCCGACGCTCCCGGCTAATGAGGCGCGGAGGAATATGCGCGGAGGCCTGTTGCTCTATGTGTCTGTAAGCAATACGTCTCTTGTGATTCCGGTAGCTGGGACACCCTGTTCAGGTTCAGACTCACACTCTCATCTACCTACACACTCAATCACTACAATTTAATACATATCTCGTCATGTCTCAGTCTCGAGTTAGGACTTATAACTCGAGTAGGGAGACCACCATCGGCACCAGCTGAGACCCCCCCTGTCCATCTGACGAGCTATCCACAGCAGCCCATGCCACTGCATCTACACCTATCCCCTAGTTTATCCCAAATATCTGGACTAAGCCTCGATCGTCTTCTACATCACACAATCTTTTTCGTCAAACCTCGATTCAAGTCTGCTTCTTGCAACAATCTATAACTTACACACACTTTCCCCTTTGTATATCTGCTAATGCCTCTTCCCCCACCCCCCACTCGACTTAACACATCGACGCCGTGGGTATCTTATGTGCGCTCGGATCCTGCTTCCTGAGGCTCAGGCTCCTACAGTCACTCCTTTGTTTCTGCACTTCTCTGCTCGTCATGCTGTGTCTGTGCTTTCTACAGTCGGCCACGCGACCTCTTATTTTCTATTCTTTTTTAGTTTGATGCCGGTCCCTAAAAATACCTCCGTAAACACTCATAGCCCTCGCGTCCCCCATGCGTGCGGCCACTCTAGAGAGCTTATTGCGTCTTTACAAACTCGTTGTTAGGGATCTTGTTTAACCCACAATGACTAGCTCTCTGTGGTGACGCCTGACAGCGCGCGTACTCGCTTGACTCCCAGTTTGCGCGCGCACTGCTGGCCTGTTTCATCGAAACATCCTAATGGGCCCTGTGCTCAGTGATACTCTACTACACCTCCGGCATCATCATCGTCTCGGACCTCCATATCTACTATGGATATAGCAAAGCTGCCTCGTCTAGTAACACCGCGCTGCCACATCGAGCGTTGTCGACTGTTCCTTCGTATCGTTGCATAAGATCTTGCCACACGCGATGGTCCTATAACACGCTACACTCGCGTGAGCTCGCACGCAGTGCGCGACGTACGCCGCGGCTATCGCTTACGGAACTCGCGCAGACTCCGTTCGCGATATGCTCCCTCATTAAGAACTCAGGAACGTACCTCCCCTGAACATGTGGCACCCATCTAGCGCGTGCTACTGCTAAGCCAAGCTGGTACACCATTCGTCGGTCCTCGAACCCACAGCTAGGCTAATGCGCCTCTGAGACATAACCCTTCATGCGCACCCGGTGACCTCCTCGGTAGACGATTACGGGTCTCCTAATGACCACACCCCTATAGACACTAGTCCATCTCAACAGCACCGTAGTCTGCTCTCTTTTCTGCGACCGCCCGAGCACATCATACGCGCACGCGTCCACACATCGTCCCCCTTCGATCTACCAGCCTCTAGCTACGCGCACCTTCTCCCCCCTCACACCTCCTATAATGACGTTTCGCGCGACACTTGCGCTACAAATGACTAGTGCTATCCATGCGAGTCTGCTCGGTGCTACCTCGAACTGATATTCACACAAATGGCGTCACCCACATACTCCACCATTCGTCACACCCCTCGCACGCGCACATGCCTATTCTGCTAACTTGTCTGCTTGTCTGCAATGTGTCTTTATTCAATACCCGACATCGCTAGACACTATACACGGCTCTGATTCAGCATCGTAACGCTCGGCCATCTACAGATAACATGCACTCCTTGCGTTGACGGTTCTACTTAATAAACTCCTCGGGTGTGCCTCACGCCGCCCCGCTCCCAAAGGGCGACCGGAGACTCGGCGCGCCAATCCACACACGTCTGTCCTCACACACGTGTCACTTTTGTTCTTTCGATTCCTACTCCTCTATATATAAGTCAAAGGCCTCTAGCCTGCCACCCTCTTCTCGCGGCCGATCCGGCCACTCAATATCTTCTGACAAGCACCTACCACACTCACACAATCACTAACGAAGATTTATCTGCTCCCGTCAAGCCCTGAACGACCTCTGTCAACGACAATGTCGCTATCCCTAGCGCAGGCTGCTCTCACTCGCACTCTCTCACGCTCGCTCAGCCGCCTCAGCTCCATGCGCGTCCATACTCGTCGCAGACTCGCGTGCATACCCTTACAGTAATTGCACGCCCTATCTTCTCGCTCAGCGATGGGCACACGTTACCTCACCTGTCCCTCACACCCTGCCTCCACCGTCGCCGCCCCTCCAGCACGCCTCTCCCGCAACCCCCACACAACCCAACCACACACACACCCCCACCCCCACACACACCACACATCACACATGTCCTCTCCCACCAACAGCTCAACAAGTTCTGAACTAACACGCACCCCCATTTCCTGCTACAGACGAGCTCAGCTGTTCGCCAAGCACATGCACCGTCTCATCCCTCTCCAGCTAGCCCATCACCTAATTACGTAAAGATACTACCGCCCATCCCCCCCCCCCTCCCCCCAGCGCTTTCCGCGACGATCTCTGCGTCTGTCATATTTCGAACATAACGCCTCCATTAACCTCTATATACTGCTCCACACTTCACGCTGCTATTCTATGCTAAACACAAACTCGCTCATGTCCATCGTCGCTCTCCCTCACAGCGTGATTCGCCTAATGACCCGAGAGCCCCCTCCGCGAACGATCGTGCGCTCACTACTCACCTGGCCACACACCTAAACTCACATACTATGCTCCTCTATCATACTCACTCAACAAGTACCTTACTTGCGACGAGCTCATGCATCCACCCCATAGGCCTTACATCTGGTGAGCTCTTCTATCATGTCCTACTCTCGCTCCTTGCAGTGGTTCGCACAATGTCCCTGGGACTGCGTATACTCACGCTGTCTCCTGCTTCTCGCATCGCGAAATTCGGCGCAAATTTGTCTCGTCAGCATTGCCCCACTTTCTCAGCTGCCGTCTACCCACAATCGCGCTAGAGGCTGCTCTGCTGACTCTGCAATATACTCTGACCTGCTACATATGCGTTCAGTCGTCGCCACTCACAAACCTCTGACTAGTCAGTCTCTCTGCTTTCTCCATCACTATATACGCTTGCGTGGTTGCTAGCGCGGACGAGATCACTCGAGCGCCCTGACCATCTCTGTACACTCGACCCCCCCTACAGCCGTCCTGCTCCAAATACACGCGCCAAGCGTGAACCTGCTGTGTCGACCTTCTCGAGTTCTTAGTTGCACACATTCATATATCGCGATATTCTTCGCCCTATGCTATACACACACTCACATATATCCTAGTCCCTCCTACGTACTCCATCACTGGTCATGCCTAATCGAACCGCATACTCTGCCTCTCAGCCGCTTACAAACACGCGCGTCTTTGAATATCATACCTCCTACTTACTTTAACTCTGTGTATGAAATAATATCTACACATGCCAATAATACACTACGTGTCTTCGCCGACTACCAAACCCTATGCCGCCGTATGTCTTGCTTTGTTCGCCATGTCCGTCACCGAGCAGCCCTCGCGCGCCTGTGATGCGACACGTTGTGAACTCCACATGCGTCGCAAGGCTACTAGTAGTCTATCTTGCCTGTATATATGCCTCACTCACGTGGCTGCGCCGCTAACTTATTCGGCGTCTTTCTAATGTCAAGAGATGAAGGTAAGTTGTGGTTGGACTTTTTCAATTTGACAAACATTCTACTAACAGTTATTATTTAGATGCTGAAGTTACAGATTTCTAACGACAACTGTCTGGAAATGGGCCGTAGCCTTAAATCTTGTGACTGTGTAAAACTTGTGCGTTATCAAATCTTGCAGTGGAACTGTGTTGTAACGGTTCACTAGAATTATTTACTGATTTACTGATTTCATCATTGATGATTGGACATGTTCTGCCGGAGCCTGTGATACGCGATCTTCGCTGGACTCATGGATTAAGCTTCACTTACTGTCATTTGCTTGTTTTTGTTGGTGTCGTCAGAATTTTTAAGCCATCGCGCATACAAAATCGCACTAGATGCACTTTACATTATATGCTCAGACCAATAATAATGCTCCATCACCCCCCCACGGGCAACTATCGCAGTGTTTGCACACACCTCTCCATCATTATCCCGAGCGGCCCTAGAGCATCATAAACTAACCGCTTCTCATAATAGACACACTACCCTCTAATTGTCTCTAGTTAGATCGCTACCACTTATCTCCTATCAGCGGTCTGAGCACGTTGACTTGCCATAGGCCTTCGACTCGTCTACTTGATACATCACAATCCTAAACATTCAAAAAAGTCGCCATGACTCAGCTGGATATCAGTGCATCCGCTAGCGCGCCCGCATGTGTCGGTCCTCCCCATCGTTCGATTCCCTATGACATGTATCAATCTACTCGCACACCTCTTAAGCTGCTTCTTATCAATAGACCACTAATTTACCGCACCCAGTACGCCTCGCCGCGCGTGTGCGGGCGCTCCGAAGCGATCCTCTGTGCCTTAGTTCAACACTGCGGCACAAGGATAGCGTGCGACCGGCACACATCTAGATCAAATCGCTACACTACGCTCGCGGATTTCGTTCTGATCTCCGCGGTCATACTCAACACCTAGGTCTCCACATTCCAGGACGCGCCAGTATCGATCATCGCTGGTGCTCCGAAATTCACCATTATATGGCTCCATCACGTGGGTTCTGACACTCTACGTGGCGTTACCTCTGGTGATGACATCATAACTCGGTCTCCACTCGCCTCCGAGAGAGATACAGCGGCTCGGGACAGCTTCTGCAAGTTCTTACCATGCGCGTGAACTATTCACACATCTTATCATTCCTCCCCCCCCATTCTTAACAACCTTACCACACAGGACCCCACTACCGATGTCTTCCACGATCATCTGCTGTCGCGCTCCGCGTAAACAGCGACGTCGGCAGATCTTCATATCCTGCCTTCATGACGACGCACTTACTCGCCAGTGACCGCGCAGCCACCAGTCTCGTAAACACACTCTTTACCTTCCGCGTAGATGTCGACTTGTGCCACCTGCTCTCGTTCGTCACCCCCTCGAGCCACCGCGCCCACCTCTTCTTGTTCAGGCTCAACAGCACCTCACTTTCCACTTCTAATCGCGAGAGCACGCCATTTTACCTCTGCACGCTCTGAACACGCTCCTCACATCTTCGTAGCTGCTTCGATACACACTAGCATCGCTCGTCTCAACCCATACAACAGTCGCGTCCCATCTACACTGTACATCCCTCCTACGTGCCCAACCCAATCGCGGACAATAGCTCGGTCGGTCTTCTGCCGCGTTTCGACGAACCACTGTCGCTTATCAATTATCTGTATACACTCATCTCAGCTCCTCAGTCCCGCACACTGTATCAGACACAACACATCCCTGCTCTCAGCAAAATCACAGCATCATCACCACAAGGAGTCATGGTAGCGATACATCGGGCCCCTCGAGCCTACTAGCTCGCACTGTCTCCACCACCGGACTGTTACCGCTCCGGCCTCTCACTTTTAAGTCCCAGGCGATATATCTAGTAAATCGTACCACAATAAAACCTGCCCCTCTGCTCGTATATTCTGGGATCGCTAACTGCGCCTCAGCTCATATCTAGTCGGCTCCGGAGTATACACGTATCCGATTAAAGCAGCGTGTGTACGCCCCAATTATCTGCGGATTTCACTTGATTTTCTACGATGATCGCGCACCCCTGGGTCTCCTGAATCGGCATAGCGCGCGTCTCTCTGGCCTCGAGGTCTAAACGCGATACGTCTATACTGTCCACTACTACTCTCTCCGCACTATCTGGAATTAGATCTGATCTATCGCTTAGTTATCGGCCCGCTTCAGTCTCGGGCGCCTGCTCTCCAAGCTATAACTCGGCGTGCCCTCACAATAACAAATATGCTCTTACTCTATTCACAGATATGGATCTCATCCTCTCTACCTCGCTCCCGCCTTTTGTCTCTCGCCACCCGCCACGACACTCCATCCGACTCTAACCCTCGTACTTTTAACTAACCTGCTACCAATCGCCTACCTCAGCACGAAACCACCTAGACAAGACGCCCCTGCGCACCATCTGTCGCTGCGCTTCGCACTGCTCGTACTTTCCGCCATTGTGCAAGATCCTATATCGTATCCTTTGGCGCTCTGCACGCTATATATTTCATACTGTCAGTCTCTTTACCTCTCGCGGTCGTGCGATGCAGTTTCATGTTGTGTGTGCGCCATGTGCTCGTCCCGCCCCACCCGCTGTTGTGGGCCTTGTCGTCGTGTGTCGTGTGTCGCTGTCGTGTGTGATCCACTGCCCCCCCCCCCCACCCCCCCACCCCATCAGGGTTCAATGATCACCCCGGCTCGGCGCAACTATTGATCTCGCTAACGCTCCATTATTTGCTAAACTCACACATGCTCTTGCTAGCTAATCACGAACACGATAAACTACAACCCTGTCTTTTACGCATCTAGAACTCACACCCAACGCGATCCCCTACCTGCGCGGCTGGCCACGCTGCCCCTGCTGCACTTGCCTCACCAGCCTAGTCCACAAACACCTGTCCTACGCGACACCTCTCTCAATCGGTTTATGCTCATCCCTTCACCCGGTTTTCCAGCGGTCTCCACAGTGAACCCTGATGGCTTTAGTCGTACTGTGGCATGTGACCCCACTCGACACACTCCCCCATATATTCTCCTCCACCCTCGCTTCTTTATCACGCATCCACTGTGCCTCGGCTCGTTCACACCCCACGTCTCCTTACGTAGGCGTCCCTCGGGGCCCACTGGTCGGACCAGTCATCGCCACCCCGCCTGCACACCATGTCTCACTAGTCCCCCATGACACAGCCACTCCTCACTGATCCTCCTGATGGTTGCTGGTCACACTTACAGGAGCTTGCCTTCTCCTTTTCTCAGCTAGGTCAGTTCAGGCACTCAGTGGTTATGTCGTCCACTCGCGCCACCCTCAAGGCATATACAACCCCCCCGACACTGCACAGATACGCATCACGCTCGGGAGTCGTGATCCAGTCACCGTCATTAGTCGGTGCGGCACTCTGCGATCACCCACCTAAAACCTCGTTTCTCCCGGCCCCCCACTTCTCGCACTACATGGCCATCTGTCTCCCCTGCTCGCCACGCGTAGCTATACCTCAATTCTTCATCTAACAAACCACGCGGCTGTTATCGCATCACACATAGCCAGCCTCTCTCGATCACCCCGTCGAAATCGAAAGAAAACCTATTCTATCTCGCGTCGGTCTATTATTTCTGTAATAAGAGCTATCAAGCAGCCTTCACTCAGGCACATCCTCCGCAGCCGTCCCCCTTGTTTCATAGCAGCTGCACCCACCTTCTAACAACCTGCATGACTGAACTGTCCACATCATCAGTCTACATCTACACACCCCTAGATGCTGCCTCTCTACCCCTGTTCGTACCCCTATCTACACCTGACTCCTCGTCACCTCACTCATGAATATATCGCCATACCACCCCCCTGCACTGCGCACCCTCACACCAGTTCCGCTCGCATCACCCACCTCTGATGTCGCTCCACCTCACACTCGTATACATGTCGCAAGGCCCCGTACACCCCCCCGCTCTGTGCCCACCTCACCCCCTGACCCTCCGTCCCTCACACTCAGCGCTATGTCCACCATCCCACCCAACGCCCCCTGAAGCGCGCGCGCCACCTACTCATCCCCTGAGGCTGCACTCTACCCTCTGTGCGATCACTCTCACCCCCCTCTGCTAAGTCGTGCCTTACCCTGTTGTTCCCTCTCCTCGCCCCTGTCCCTACACTCACCTCGTACGTCACATGAACACACCTTGGATGAGCCTACACCCCATCCAGCGTCTGCGGCACCTACTCACCTGCCTCTGCTCACACCCTACTCACACCTCGATGTCGCACCATCATAACACCCTGTGCCTGCTCCTGATGTTACTCAGCTCTCATACCATCGTTCTGTGCCTAGCATCACCCCTGAAGTCCTCACCCCTGTGCGGCCTCAACCACACTGATATCGTCGCCCTCACCACCCGGTCCTGTCCTGACATCCTGATGAGGCACCCGCCTCAACACACCTGATCGTCCTCAAACACTCGCTACGCGTGCCACTCCTCACACTTCACGGTCGCGTCCGCCATCACCGCCGACTACGTCCCTACTCACCCTCCTCGATGTCGCACTTCCACTCTATGATGGTGCCTCCAACCCATGCCATGTCGCCACCCACCATAACTCCCCCCTGACTTACGCCTCACTCACACACCCCACTGCGCATGTGCGCACCTCAACCCTGTTCCCCCCCGTCTACCTCACTACACACCTGAGGTTAGCCCTCACTCACCATGATGCGATCGCCTCACACATCAGCGACTGCATAGCCCTCCTCACCCTCCCGACCCGCTCCACTCACTCCACAACCACACCGGCCACTGTGCCATCACACCCCCCGCGCCTCTGCTACCACTTATCAACCCACTGCTCTGCTCCGCCTGCACTCCCCTCCCCGTACTGTGCGCCTACACACAACTTGATGTGCCCCCTCCATCTCATCCTTGATCTGTGCCTCACCTGACTGTGCACCTCACCCCTCGATGCGGACCCCCACCCCTGATATGTGCCCCACCCTGAGTCCCTTCACCTGATGTCCGCACCCTTGATGTGCCCCACCCCCTGACGTCCCTCACCCCTGAGGTCCCTCACGCTGATGTGCCTCTACCCCCTGATGTCCCTCACCTGATTGTGCCTCACCCCTGATGTCCATCACCTGATGTCCCCCACCCTGATGTTCCCAGCCTGATGTCCTCACCATGATGTGCCTCACCCTGATGTCCCCACCCTTGACCAACCAACACAAAACAAGGGAATAGACATTTTATTTAAAACCATAAATACTCACTTTGTTCACTCAGGAGAAGAAAATCATTTAATATCATGGTGAATTTGTCACTCAAAAGTCAATAAACATAATAAAACTGTGAGTAAAAAGTCAGTTTTACTCAAACCTGAGACGTTTGTTCCAACCCCTCACTCGCAACAGAGAGGAGTCGTATAGCGACACACCTTCACTAGCCCCCCGCTATAACATCACCTCTCCCACGAACGCAGACTCATCACGTACCTGACAACCAATTACCCCAGAGCGAGCCGGTTCGTAGACCCGACGACCACAGCCACGAGCTTCGTGGACGGCTAGTCGGCTACGGCGCTCCACCCCTGGGGCGGACCTCTACTAACACCCCGATCTATAACGCAATATCACTTGACGCGCACCCCTCTGACACTCTGCTGCGACACCGTAGTTTCTGCCAATGAGAATGGCCCCCCTTCCCCCGGCATCGATAGATCTCATCGCTTCACTACACGATAGCTTGTTCACTTAAACTCCGTCAGGAACTAAATTCAGGAATTCTAATAACTACACGGAAGTCTCTCACAGACCCACGACTCCTCTACCTCGCGCCCATGGCTATCGTTGTCGGCGATGTAGCGCCCGGGCGACGCACTCGCTCCCCTCAGCCTCACCTCACTTAACTGCCCCCCCCCCCACCGTAGACAGGAAAGGAACCGCCCACACACAAACTCTCTGGGATAACTGCACATTAATATAACTCCATCTAATATCACGCCTCCGCCACCACATGCGTGCGCACACCGTCCCCCTGGATATATGGCTCACCGTGTTTATCTCTTCCGCGTCGTCAATGGTCTTCGCGACAGTCACACCTCTCGCTCCCCGCAGCCGGCAACTCTCACACTCTGCGCGCCGCGCGAGCAGCAGCGCCATCGCGCGGTCCAGTCATCCTCTCGACTGTTCGGTACCGGCAGAAAGCACAGAGCACTCTACTCATTTTCTCCTCCGGGCATGCTCCCATCGCGTCGCAGCGCCCACTCGAGAGCCACACGGCTGACCCGCGCCACACCCCGGCCGTAAACAAGACCCCTCAAACAGACTCTACCAACCAGCCCGACGCATGTCTTACTACCTGCCGAGACTGAATACCCAGACTGTACATAAAACCTCCACTGCGACGTTAACACCCTACGAGCATAACACTCCGTGCGGATTATCACTCCGCACCGTCCCCAGCTGACCCTCTCTATCTTCCTCTCAGCCTCATCAGCCCGTGACCGGTGAATTAACATCCGGCTGCTCAATGGCTTGGGGCCTAGCCAACTCTCCCGCATACACAATCACTCGCTTATTTATTTAGGTGTGATATAACCCAACAGCAATCTCCCTGCAAACCTACTCTTCTATCTCCGTCCTCTTCCCACGACCGTCTCATGCGATTGATACTCAGTTCTATCGTGACTCCTTTAGCTGCTCCCCTCATAGCTCCCACATACTCGGCACCCATGCCCTCTGAGGACGCAGCATCGAGACCAGACCCAGCAGGAACGAGCGCGAGCTGCTGTACGAGCTACCAGCAGAGGAGAGCGCAGACCGATGAGTCACACCAGCACATTCTTCCGCCTTCTTATCTGCCTACATAGCAAAAGTGCGCGCACAGCCCAAGCAAGGTAACAATACTTAATACTACATAACCTCTCCGCGTAATTACCCTACACCAGTCCCCTAGTAATACTACAATTGATCCGATTCTAAGCAACACATACTAGACTCTCTAGCATCGTTTTTATCTTGTAATAATCCTCCTGTCTGGCCCTATGCTTCCTGCGCCATGACTCCAATGTGATCACAGCCTCGCAGAGCTAGATCCATCGTGTATATTACTCTTACTGGGTCTCTACTTCCTCGACTCTTACTGTGAGACGTCCTCCCCATCCTGCCACCGTCACCCCGCCGACTCTATGAAAAAGACATCCCTTCTTGACGATTATGACTTCGGCGTTATTTCACCCACCCCCCCCCCCCCCCCCCCCCCCCCCCACCCCCCCCCCCCCCCCCCCCCCCCCCCCCCCCCCCCCCCCCCCCCCCCCCCCCCCCCCCCCCCCCCCCCCCCCCCCCCCCCCCCCCCCCCCCCCCCCCCCCCCCCCCCCCCCCCCCCCCCCCCCCCCCCCCCCCCCCCCCCCCCCCCCCCCCCCCCCCCCCCCCCCCCCCCCCCCCCCCCCCCCCCCCCCCCCCCCCCCCCCCCCCCCCCCCCCCCCCCCCCCCCCCCCCCCCCCCCCCCCCCCCCCCCCCCCCCCCCCCCCCCCCCCCCCCCCCCCCCCCCCCCCCCCCCCCCCCCCCCCCCCCCCCCCCCCCCCCCCCCCCCCCCCCCCCCCCCCCCCCCCCCCCCCCCCCCCCCCCCCCCCCCCCCCCCCCCCCCCCCCCCCCCCCCCCCCCCCCCCCCCCCCCCCCCCCCCCCCCCCCCCCCCCCCCCCCCCCCCCCCCCCCCCCCCCCCCCCCCCCCCCCCCCCCCCCCCCCCACCCCCCCCCCCCCCCCCCCCCCCCCCCCCCCCCCCCCACCCCCCCCCCCCCCCCCCCCCCCCCCCCCCCCCCCCCCCCCCCCCCCCCCCCCCCCCCCCCCCCCCCCCCCCCCCCCCCCTCCCCCCCCCCCCCCCCCCCCCCCCCCCCCCCCCCCCCCCCCCCCCCCCCCCCCCCCCCCCCCCCCCCCCCCCCCCCCCCCCCCCCCTCCCCCCCCCCCCCCCCCCCCCCCCCCCCCCCCCCCCCCCCCCCCCCCCCCCCCCCCCCCCCCCCCCCCCCCACCCCCCCCCCCCCCCCCCCCCCCCCCCCCCCCCCCCCCCCCCCCCCCCCCCCCCCCCCCCCACACCCCCCCACCCCCCCCCCCCCCCCCCCCCCCCCCCCCCCCCCCCCCCCCCCCCCCCCCCCCCCCCCCCCCCCCCCCCCCCCCCCCCCCCCCCCCCCCCCCCCCCCCCCCCCCCCCCCCCCCCCCCCCCCCCCCCCCCCCCCCCCCCCCCCCCCCCCCCCCCCCCCCCCCCCCCCCCCCCCCCCCCCCCCCCCCCCCCCCCCCCCCCCCCCCCCCCCCCCCCCCCCCCCCCCCCCCCCCCCCCCCCCCCCCCCCCCCCCCCCCCCCCCCCCCCCCCCCCCCCCCCCCCCCCCCCCCCCCCCCCCCCCCCCCCCCCCCCCCCCCCCCCCCCCCCCCCCCCCCCCCCCCCCCCCCCCCCCCCCCCCCACCCCCCCCCCCCCCCCCCCCCCCCCCCCCCCCCCCCCCCCCCCCCCCCCCCCCCCCCCCCCCCCCCCCCCCCCCCCCCCCCCCCCCCCCCCCCCCCCCCCCCCCCCCCCCCCCCCCCCCCCCCCCCCCCCCCCCCCCCCCCCCCCCCCCCCCCCCCCCCCACCCCCACCCCCCCCCCCCCCCCCCCCCCCCCCCCCCCCCCCCCCCCCCCCCCCCCCCCCCCCCCCCCCCCCCCCCCCCCCCCCCCCCCCCCCCCCCCCCCCCCCCCCCCCCCCCCCCCCCCCCCCCCCCCCCCCCCCCCCCCCCCCCCCCCCCCCCCCCCCCCCCCCCCCCCCCCCCACCCCCCCCCCCCCCCCCCCCCCCCCCCCCCCCCCCCCCCCCCCCCCCCCCCCCCCCCCCCCCCCCCCCCCCCCCCCCCCCCCCCCCCCCCCCCCACCCCCCCCCCCCCCCCCCCCCCCCCCCCCCCCCCCCCCCCCCCCCCCCCCCCCCCCCCCCCCCCCCCCCCCCCCCCCCCCCCCCCCCCCCCCCCCCCCCACCCCCCCCCCCCCCCCCCCCCCCCCCCCCCCCCCCCCCCCCCCCCCCCCCCCCCCCCCCCCCCCCCCCCCCCCCCCCCCCCCCCCCCCCCCCCCCCCCCCCCCCCCCCCCCCCCCCCCCCCCCCCCCCCCCCCCCCCCCCCCCCCCCCCCCCCCCCCCCCCCCCCCCCCCCCCCCCCCCCCCCCCCCCCCCCCCCCCCCCCCCCCCCCCCCCCCCCCCCCCCCCCCCCCCCCCCCCCCCCCCCCCCCCCCCCCCCCCCCCCCCCCCCCCCCCCCCCCCCCCCCCCCCCCCCACCCCCCCCCCCCCCCCCCCCCCCCCCCCCCCCCCCCCCCCCCCCCCCCCCCCCCCCCCCCCCCCCCCCCCCCCCCCCCCCCCCCCCCCCCCCCCCCCCCCCCCACCCCCCCCCCCCCCCCCCCCCACCCCCCCCCCCCACCCCCCCCCCCACCCCCCCCCCCCCCCCCCCCCCCCCCCCCCCCCCACCCCCACCCCCCCCCCCCCACCCCCCCCCCCCCCCCCCCCCCCCCCCCCCCCCCCCCCCCCCCCCCCCCCCCCCCCCCCCCCCCCCCCCCCCCCCCCCCCCCCCCCCCCCCCCCCCACCCCCCACCCCCCCCCCCCCCCCCCCCCCCCCCCCCCCCCCCCCCCCCCCCCCCCCCCCCCCCCCCCCCCCCCCCCCCCCCCCCCCCCCCCCCCCCCCCCCCCCCCCCCCCCCCCCCCCCCCCCCCCCCCCCCCCCCCCCCCCCCCCCCCCCCCCCCCCCCCCCCCCCCCCCCCCCCCCCCCCCCCCCCCCCCCCCCCCCCCCCCCCCCCCCCCCCCCCCCCCCCCCCCCCCCCCCCCCCCCCCCCCCCCCCCCCCCCCCCCCCCCCCCCCCCCCCCCCCCCCCCCCCCCCCCCCCCCCCCCCCCACCCCCCCCCCCCCCCCCCCCCCCCCCCCCCCCCCCCCCCCCCCCCCCCCCCCCCCCCCCCCCCCCCCCCCCCCCCCCCCCCCCCCCCCCCCCCCCCCCCCCCCCCCCCCCCACCCCCCCCCCCCCCCCCCCCCCCCCCCCCCCCCCCCCCCCCCCCCCCCCCCCCCCCCCCCCCCCCCCCCCCCCCCCCCCCCCCCCCCCCCCCCCCCCCCCCCCCCCCCCCCCCCCCCCCCCCCCCCCCCCCCCCCCCCCCCCCCCCCCCCCCCCCCCCCCCCCCCCCCCCCCCCCCCCCCCCCCCCCCCCCCCCCCCCCCCCCCCCCCCCCCCCCCCCCCCCCCCACCCCCCCCCCCCCCCCCCCCCCCCCCCCCCCCCCCCCCCCCCCCCCCCCCCCCCCCCCCCCCCCCCCCCCCCCCCCCCCCCCCCCCCCCCCCCCCCCCCCCCCCCCCCCCCCCCCCCCCCCCCCCCCCCCCCCCCCCCCCCCCCCCCCCCCCCCCCCCCCCCCCCCCCCCCCCCCCCCCCCCCCCCCCCCCCCCCCCCCCCCCCCCCCCCCCCCCCCCCCCCCCCCCCCCCCCCCCCCCCCCCCCCCCCCCCCCCCCCCCCCCCCCCCCCCCCCCCCCCCCCCCCCCCCCCCCCCCCCCCCCCACCCCCCCCCCCCCCCCCCCCCCCCCCCCCCCCCCCCCCCCCCCCCCCCCCCCCCCCCCCCCCCCCCCCCCCCCCCCCCCCCCCCCCCCCCCCCCCCCCCCCCCCCCCCCCCCCCCCCCCCCCCCCCCCCCCCCCCCCCCCCCCCCCCCCCCCCCCCCCCCCCCCCCCCCCCCCCCCCCCCCCCCCCCCCCCCCCCCCCCCCCCCCCCCCCCCCCCCCCCCCCCCCCCCCCCCCCCCCCCCCCCCCCCCCCCCCCCCCCCCCCCCCCCCCCCCCCCCCCCCCCCCCCCCCCCCCCCCCCCCCCCCCCCCCCCCCCCCCCCCCCCCCCCCCCCCCCCCCCCCCCCCCCCCCCCCCCCCCCCCCCCCCCCCCCCCCCCCCCCCCCCCCCCCCCCCCCCCCCCCCCCCCCCCCCCCCCCCCCCCCCCCCCCCCCCCCCCCCCCCCCCCCCCCCCCCCCCCCCCCCCCCCCCCCCCCCCCCCCCCCCCCCCCCCCCCCCCCCCCCCCCCCCCCCCCCCCCCCCCCCCCCCCCCCCCCCCCCCCCCCCCCCCCCCCCCCCCCCCCCCCCCCCCCCCCCCCCCCCCCCCCCCCCCCCCCCCCCCCCCCCCCCCCCCCCCCCCCCCCCCCCCCCCCCCCCCCCCCCCCCCCCCCCCCCCCCCCCCCCCCCCCCCCCCCCCCCCCCCCCCCCCCCCCCCCCCCCCCCCCCCCCCCCCCCCCCCCCCCCCCCCCCCCCCCCCCCCCCCCCCCCCCCCCCCCCCCCCCCCCCCCCCCCCCCCCCACCCCCCCCCCCCCCCCCCCCCCCCCCCCCCCCCCCCCCCCCCCCCCCCCCCCCCCCCCCCCCCCCCCCCCCCCCCCCCCCCCCCCCCCCCCCCCCCCCCCCCCCCCCCCCCCCCCCCC